ACACAACCATATTCAACGAGTGACAGTACATCATTACCGGTATTATAGTAACAGACTTTGTTGGATTCTGTCATGTACAATCTAACAAACTCTGTTACAATATTAATAATAAATAATAATAAAAAGATTTAGAAGTTAAAAATAAGTTGTACTGTTTTGAGACAGTTGAGAACTAATAATATTTTCACAGTTTTTACAATAATTGTCATTGTTGAACCCTTGCTTATATTATGTTTTTGATTTCCCAGTTATCTTTTTTTTAGCAAATAATTTATTTTATATGTTTTGAGACAGTTTGTTTTAAGAAGTTTCAGTAAAAGAGTAAAGTAAAAGTAAAAAATATTTAAGTTGTCAAGTACTTATTTTGTATTTATACATAAACTCACCATATTAATTTATAATGTATCATTATTGCGTGACATTTGTGTCAATAATCGTCAAGCACAGGTGACTTTGCGTAGTGGGAGGGGCCTTCAAATCAATTTCTGCTTAGGGCCCCCAAAAAGCTCGGGGTGGCTCTGATTGTCAGCTTGCAGTTAATTTAGAAAAATTGCTGGAGCTTGACCAATCAGCATTTCTCACAGCCTAAAGTCTCCTCAATACAAAACATGTAAAGTTAAATGGAAAAATTCAGATTTTTTTGCGGAAATTGTGAAGTCTCAAAGGCACTTTATTGTGATTCTGACCCGGCTGTGTTGTGCTCAGTCCCGCTCCTCCGTGACGCTGACGGTGTGCAGTTAAAAAATCATAACAAACGAATTTGAAAGTGGGGGGGACACGGGCGGGATTTTGAAAAGTGGGGGGACATGTTCCTGTCCCCATAGGAAATTACGCCTGTGCTTTGAACATTATATTCCTGAAGAATTGGTCGTCACGTAATTTTACAGGCATCACAACTCAATAATGACAACAGTTTGTTTAGATGATAGCAAACACTGTACAATGTGACATGATATCTGATACTTGAACTTACCGTGATATGTCAATTTTCAAGTCCTCAAAATGCGTCTTTACATTTCGCCTGAATCAATCGTCGCTTTCAATGGGGCCAAGTCCACACGGAAGTGAGCATCCCTGTGCTCTACTCCCTAACAACAGTGAGGACTTTGGACATAATGTGTGTGCCATTATGTAACTTGGACCTTTGGAACGCACAGCTAAAGCGAAGCCATATAGAGATAAGACACATGGAATGTTCCCATGACAAAGCAGCACAATCTGTCTGTTTATTAGCTGTTCTTGAAACAGATTTATTATTGCTGAACATAACTCTAGTAAATAAATATATATTTATATTATATATATATATATATATTTATATACAAGTCTGCATGTGTGTGTATGTATTTCTCTGCTTTCAACTTAAAGGGTTAGTTCACCCAAAAATGAAAATTAAGTCATTAATTACTCACCCCCATGCTGTACCAACCCCGTAAGAACTTCGTTCGTCTTCGGAACACAAATGAAGATATTTTTGATTGAATCTGAGAGCTGGATCAGTCCTACATAGACTGCCTAAGGGACTGGCTCTTGATGGCCCATAAAGTCATTAAAGAAAAGGTTTAAATATTCCATGTGCCTACAGCGGCTCAATTATAAGTTTATCAAGCAACGAGAATACTTTTTGTGCAAAAAAAACATAAATAACGACTTTATTCCACTATTCCAATACTTCCTTATTGGCGCATGCGCGAGAACTGAGACGAGGACGTTCTCATTCGTCTACTTCTTGTTACCGGCTGCTCACCGCTCAGGAGTTTTACCGCCCCCTACCGTATAAGATGATGTGCTGATATAGCTGGAAGCGCAAAACTTTCTGTTTACAAGCAGAGGAAGATGCGCGCTGTACATACGCTTTTCAATTTGCGTATTTTCCGCACTATAAGGTGCACTTAAAAGCCTTTAATCTTCTTAAAAAACGACAGTGTTCCTTATAATCCGGAGCGCCTTATATATGGATCATCATATATAGATACAGATCATCACCGAAATGAGCTTTCTCCGCAGGGTGGCTGGGTGATCCCTTAGAGATGGGGTGAGAAGCTCGGTCACTCGGGAGGAGCTCAGAGTAGAGCCGCTGCTCCTCCACATCGAGAGGGGTCAGCTGAGGTGGCTCGGGCATCTGTTCCGGATGCCTTCTGGACGCCCCCCCGGGAGATGTTACGGGCACGTCCCACTGGGAGGAGGCTCCAGGGAAGACCTAGGACACGCTGGAGAGACTATGTCTCCCGGCTGGCCTGGGAACGCCTCGGTGTCCCTCCAGAAGAGCTGGAGGAAGTGTCTAGGGAGAGGGAAGTCTGGGCATCTCTGCTTAGACTGATGCCCCCGCGACCCGGCCCCGGATGAGCGGAAGAAGAAGGATGGATGGATAATTTTTAAAATTTTATTTTAAGTGCTCACAGAAGAGATGAGTGTTCAGTTGTCTTTTAAATGCAGACAGGAATTCTGCATTCTGGATGATGGTGGGCAGATCACTCCACCAGCAGGGAACCGTGAATGAGAATGTTCTGGAGAGTGATTTTGTCGCTCTTTGTGATGGCACCACGAGCCGTCGCTCATTGACTTATCGTCGGCTTCTGGTAGGTGTAAGACTGGAAAACTGGTTAAAGAGAAAATATCTGACCAGTGGCCTTTAAAGACAATGGCAAAATTAACATTTGACACCCTACGCCCTTCTTCTGAGCTACATCTCCCTCTCTCCCTCTCTCTCAGCCAGTAACACTGAAAACACACACAAGAATATTTAAGTTTTTAATCTGAATGTGATCATCTTTAAGGAGTGTTTGATATCATTTTGAAATTCTCAGGGTGACTGGTAATAATGTCTCATTCCCAAAGAAGTAAACGAAAAGGTAATAAGGTTTTTAAGAATATAGAAATATCTTGCTCACAAAAGATATCACCTTCTACCTTTTATCTGAGTGCAAATTCTCCTTCCCCCAGTAAGCATGGTGGGGGGATTCAGTAACCTTCCATTGTAGTTTGATGATTAGATCAGGTAAATTTGGTGATTATACCAGGTAAAGTCTGGCTCTATTTAAGGGAAATGTAACAAGAGTTCAGGGCTGCTATTCTGTATCAGATTCAGGTTCGCTCTGATTATCTTGTGGAACTGTAGTAATACATTTACCTGACATAATAAATTGTTCTGATTATTCTAAAAGACTTTGACTATATTTTCATTAAGTTAAAAGGAATAGTCAAGCTTTAAAATATTAAGTGATGCACTAAAACACGTGAAACTAAAACACGTGAGGACGTGACCAATAGCGGCTGCGCCGCTCAGATAAAGAGTGAAAACCCTTGTTTAATAAATTTAAAGATATCCTTGTTTGTTTAAGCCAGGGATTCCCAAACTGTGGTGTGCCCATCCCCAGGGGTACGCAAGCTGCCACCAGGGGGTGCGCGAGAGGAAAAATGTAATGGCAGTCTGTTTTTTTAAGTGAAATTTTCCACACAATAAAAAAAAATGAACTGTAAACATTTCCTTTGAAATTTCTTATATTATAAATAAAAAAAACCTATAATTTATCAGTATTTGATAGAACATAGAAGACAGCTGTTGTCATCTTCTACACACTGCTCTGCACTGCAGCCGCTATTTACGTTATCAACTCCTAAGTTCAAACGTGCTTTGGCGTGTTGGCTGGCACTGAGTTTCTTGTTGAATCCGGTGTTGAACTCGTGGTGATTCTGGAAGCTGTCTTCCTTAAAATGCGCAGCACAGAGAGCTAGATTATGATCATCATTTTCAGGAACATAATCAAACATAAATTGTATCCATTGTTGACGAAGTACAGCGTCCGTGGGAAGCTCGAACACAGAAGACCTGACAGCTGTGTGAACACAACACACTTGACATGCCTCAGAAATATGCGCATGCCCTTTTCTGCATATTCCAGAGGGAGGGGTTGATGCAAATGTGTGGGTTAGTGACGTCTAAAACCCAGCTGTAGTCCCAATCGAGTCGTTTTTGTAGGCAATATACTTCCTGATTTTTAAAAGACAAAATCTCTGCTTACACTGAACTTTCAGTGCTGCAACTGTGCAGATACTGTCCATGCACCAACAGCAACATTACACACTATTTGAAGGTGCCCTATAATGGAAAATTGAATTTATTTTGACATAGTTACATAACAAGAGTTCAGTACATGGACATGACATACAGTGAGTCTCAAACATCATTGTTTTCTCCTTCTTACTTAAATCTCGTTTTTGAAAAACACCCCTGAAAAACAGGCGAATCTCCACAAAATACCGACTCGGGATCATTAATATGTATGACCCAAAATATTTGCATATGCCAGCCCATGTTCAGTGACAGGTGAGACGGAGCTGCGCAGCGAAGCATGGCCGTTGATCAGTGTTCGGATCTACACATGAACACAAAAGTATTTTTTAGTTCCTTCATCCGAGCCTCTGAAGAAACAATGGGTTAATTTTATTTTCTCTGGATATTTCCAAACATTTCACCGACGACTGATTCCTCAACTTGCCAAGAGCTGGGGCCCGTTCTTCGTACGTCGCTAACTCATTTAGCTGGATGTGATTGTTGGCGATTTGGCATGATCTTGGATCGTTTGGTTCTTCGACGCTCATCCAGGACTTGCTGTCATAGCAACAGGTGCGCTAGCTTGAACCTGCTCGCGAGCAGGCTTATTTCAGGTTAACAGGATTAGATCGCGGCTTTATAAGCGGGGGTGAAACGGGGAGTCTTTTAGCGCAGCGCAATAGTGTGTGTACTTTTTGAGAGATATCATATTTCTCATGACTCGTGAGGATGGCGTTTACATCATTAATTTGTTGGAAAGGCATAAATGTTCGACTCGGAGTCGGGTTTTAACATGGGTTTTAATAACAGTGCAGGCAAGTTACTATTGCGATCCTTATCCAGATTAGTAAGATTATATCAAATTTTATCAAAAGGCAGTTGACTGACTAATCTCTTAGATGGTGTGTGACTATGTTCCATATCACAAATATGGCCAGCATCTATGCATGATTCAATAATTTTCAGAGATTTATTCACATTATTTGAACGTGGTAAGGAAAAATATATCAAGCTCACTTACATGTATGTATGCTTATCCTAACAGAACTGAAATTTTCCATTATACAGGTGATTACAACAGGATCTGCCTGGAGACAGGTGTTTTATGCCCCCATTCCCTGACCAGTTACAATGCCGCTCTAGCCAGGACAAGGGCACACAATGAAGTGAACTTTAGCCAACTAAAGTTTCTGAAAAGCCTGAGGGTTGCACCTGACAGGGCCTGTGACATTGCATGGGCCATATTACACAACATTGCACCATCAGAAAAAATATAAAACATTTCATTAATGTTTAATAAAAGACAAGACAAATATGCTATAGTTCTTTGAGTTCTCGGAGAACGAGTGTAAAGCGGCTCACGGGTAATAATGATGGATACTGAATACGTGTGTGTGTGTGTTTACAGATTTATTATGAAGATCACATCACATTTAAACAGAAGATCATGCAGAAATCTGAAGGGCTCAGCATCTTCCACACTTAAGATCACAAATTACCACGAAATAATCGTAAGAGTTTAGGAACGAGACACACTGTGAAATGATAGGATTAGAAATTTCTAAGTAGTAAGTCTCAATAACAGCTCCTGATAAATGAGGAGAGAGTATGACAGGAGCCGTATTACAGAATATAAGACGCCTTTCCTCTGTGTTACGTATCAAAACCGACAGAAAGATTAGGCTATAAACAGAGAGGTAAACACACACTTAAATAAGAGATCAACAGAGTCAAACAGATACACAGATAGTGTTATTTTAACACTTCTAAGCGCTTTTTAAGCATTGTGGTGTAGATGTTTATTAGGAAATGTTTCCTGAAATGTCCCAGATCTGCGTAGAGAGAAAGGCCTAGTCCAGCAACCGGCTGTGTGTATCCAGATCCGCTCTCAGCGTCCTGGGAGAAAACACACAGAAACATCTATAAACATCTCACACATCTTAAAAAGCCTTGAAATAGGAAATTTGAGTACTTTAAGATCTTGTAAGTGCAGAAATCCTGTGTTTAAGGACACATCCCTCGTCACTGCGACAGAACACTTACACTACTAATGTGTGTAGACACACAGATGGTGAATGTGTGTATGCTGATGTATAGACAGATGGTGAATGAGGCCATCAGGACAGGTGAGTTGGAGATGCTCTTCTACAGGGATTATGCTGAGATTAACTCTGATCAGATTAACCGCTCTCCAAGCAACACTCATGTGAGAAGTGCTTTACACTTTCTTTAGGAACTTCCCCAGCTACTGTCTTTATCGTGTCATCTCCGTGTGTGTGTGTGTGTGTGTTTCAGAATGTGCCACCATAAGAGTTTCCCAGTTCTTCTGGTTTTCTGCAGGGTTTTCCCCTGGACTGACATCTCATCTCAATGAAGTTAAAACGTTTACGTGATGCAAGATCATTTCTTTTTTTATGTGTCAGATACCTTTGAAATATTGAGGGTTACAGACAAAGAAAAGCCTCTGGTGCTGTAAAATGATAAAAGACACCAATGTTCAATAAATAAAAGCATTTGCAAATGGTATTAGTGGGAGTCTCAGCCAGGATCCGAAGTGGCGTTGTGTAACTTACCAGGACATATGCTGAATTCTCATATTAATATATATATATATATATATATATATATATATATATATATTATGTTCATAGAAAACCAGAAATCATTGTGAATCACACTGTATAAAGTTTTTGTTTCTCCCTTTTTTTCTGTAACGAAAGATTTGATTTATCACATGGTTACAGCAAGTTCTTGTCTTGCATTGCAGGCAGGACTGGGTGATGAAATCAGGACACTGGGAATCTGTACAACTACAAACCAGTTCTGTCATTCTGGGTCAAACTCATTCAACAAGAAATGATGAGGAAGAAAGAAGATGAGGGAGGGAGATGAGCGTTTGTTCACTGAGAGACTGGCTGTAAACAATGGGGTGTCATTCCAGTTCAAACTGGTTCGATTTTAGGAAATTAGCAGGATTTCTATATTTTATTCACTTAATAGCCTATGAAAGTGATAAGAATTCAGCAGAAAAACATAGCGAAGTAAAAAAATATATAATAAATGCAGCGGTTGCTGTATTATACAATTGGGGGCGCAATCGACTTTTGTGATTGGCCATAATATCTGCAAGTTGCAGCCGATGACCATGAATCAAAGCAAATCACTTCAGGTAAATTAAGTGGGATAAACTGAGATTTTAGCCGAATCGTTACTTTAATAGACTTGATCTGGATAAAACCGCATTTACATAGGTTATCTGAAATTATCCAGGTTTAATCAGATTTAATGCAAAGTGAAAAGAGACTGTTTCCGTGACAGTAGAGCTGCACATTAATCATTAAACGATCAAACACACACGCAATCTTATTCCTGAACGACAATGATTCGTCTACTAAATCTTTGAAAAGTACGATCACGGTGAACATTCAGAAGTGTGTCGTAACTGACCCAAAGTGAGCAGTTAGACTATAAATGTAAAACAGCTTCACAAACAGCCTTTTCAACTGGATCAATATTTCTTACAATAATTCAGATTATCACAGAAGTACTGGAATTAAAGTTTATAGTTTTGAACACTGATGAATACAGTAGCGATTAAAATAGAGCAAATCTTAAAATAGTAACTTGACGCTTCAAATAAAGATAGTTTCAGTTATATAGTTACACCAGTAGGTGGCGACAAGTGACTGTTAATTTTTTTTTTTTGTCATTAATTGAATCATTCATCCAATAGATTTTTAAAATCACTTATTTATCCAGTATTGAAACAAGGGAAGTGAATCATTGAATAATTTATAGAGTGATTAAAAAAAAATCATTCATTTTATTCATTCATTAATTTTACTGCAGCACTTAACATTTTGTCAGAACCTTTAGTAAATTGTATCCTATTTTGTTTAGTTGTCTATTCAGAATCGTGATCTCAGTTTTAAAACAGAAACGTTGTGGATTGTGCACTAAATTGAGTAAAAGCAGTATCATAACCTCATGTGATGAAGCAGGTTGAGAGAAGGGAGGGGAGATCAATTCATTAATACTCTTTACATTTTTCTTCAAACTATTTTTGTCAAGCAGTTGAAATTATTTCTGAGAATTCTTATATTATATTACCAATGTCTATGGTAACATCCTCAAACAAATATTTTTCAATATTATGTATTCTAGAAGCATTATACAAATTATTTTAATTTTATAATGCACATTAACTCCCCTTTCCCTTAAAACAGGATTAATCTTTAAATGTGTTTAATAATTATTTATATTCAAAGCACTAATCTGAGAATTCACGATCCAAAACATTCTACACCTTTTCTACTTTATTCTGAAGATAAATGTTTTCAAAAGCTTTGTGTCACCTGTAATATTCTGCATGTGCAGATTCTTACACACTGTTGTGGTTTCACAGATTAGGCCTTAATTCAATTTGGGCATTTAAGAAGCTTGTATAAACATGCCTTAGAAAAAAAAACATGACCGTTGTGCATCTTGAGACAAAACATTGGCACTGTTATATTTTAAGATTTATCAGTGCAAGTTGCTTTCAGTTCAGACACCTCAAACTTTCATTTTAGTCTTAGACTAGCTTACGCCATGTTCTATGAAACCGAAGGAATGTATCTTTAATTTGGCCAGAATTAAATAGGTAATTTTCTCTAAGCACAGATACTCTTGAACGAAGAAGAGTTTGTGCCACACACAATTCATAAATGCTGTTTATTGACCTTTCATATAGCTGTCTTGATGCACAATAAAACAATATTTGGAGGAAACATGAACTTTTATATTTAAATACATCAAAAAAGTAAGATTGGCAGAATCTGATTCAACAAACTCAATCATGTTCTACCTGTTTTGTCTTTTTGTATTCAAACCTTTGTTGTGTCATAGATTTGCTACATATTGCATCACAAGGAATGAGGCTGGAAGGTGCTTACCCCTCACTACTGGTCGAAGGTGAGTCATCACTGCCCGATGACCTATGACCTGACGGACGGCGTCCCATGAAAGAGTTTTGAAGGCGAGGTCTGGCAGGTTCACCCCAGGGCCGAGGCAGTGTAGATGTACTTGAAGGAGAGAACACAGCCCGGGCTTCAAAGTATGCTTGAGAGCCAGAAACACTGGAGGTGTTTGACAGAGTCCACTTCCTAGTAGGGGGGCAGTTCGTGGATGGAGGGCTTGGCACTGGGTGGTGCAGAGTGGGACAAGAGGGTGGAAGCCGTGTCCTTGAGACAGGGGGAGTCGTTGGGGGGAAAACTTTCGAGTGTGTAGTTGCGGTCTCAGCCTCATCTTGCCTCAGTGGCTGAGTAGTTGCTCTCTGCATTGTAGCCCTGTTGTTGGGAGCAGTCTCTCTCTGTGTTAAAGTGCGGAGTCGCTGCCCTCTGCACTGTGAATCACGAGCCCGGTCCTCAGTGGGAAACCCTACGCTGCTTTCAAATGTGTTGTCCATGAGCATTTCTGGCGGTGGAGGCGGGAGGCTGTCTATATCCAGATGCTCAGGTTTGTCAGCCGGTCTGGGCTCAAGCGAGCGGATGCTACTCTTGATGTTCCTATAGGTGGTAAGTGCTTCTCTGCTAGTCTGCAGCAGTGGGAGAGAGCATTTCTTGTTGCCCCTAACTCTCACCATTTTTTGGTCTACAGGACTTGAATTATCCTCCACCCCTTGGCTAAACGTATTGATGAGCCTCTTGACAGCATGTCGCCCCGGTGGTTCTGGAGTAAACTTTGGAGGAGAGCTAGATTGGACTGCCCCGAAAGGCCCTTTGCTGCCATACTGGAGGCCGTAGTACCTTGCTGAGCACTGTCCTACAGATGAACCTCTTCCCGCCTTGGTCCATACGCGACTCCCATGATTATCTGGGAGATTATTTTTTCTCCTCCAGTGCATGTTCCTTGGGTTACCCTGTTCCTCATTAGGATCTGATTCTTCCGCTTTGCTACACAAGCACTCTGCGGATTGCGAGCGCTTTGGTCGTCGTACATGGCGGTGCTTTAGTTTCATCTGAAAGTTATTGTCTGCGGTTTTTGGCCGTCTGATTTTCCTTTTCAAGATACTGGTCTTGACTTGATCTTGGTTTTGAACGCCACCCTGATCTGGGGGAAAGCTGGAGTTTGCTTCAGAATAACTACTCACTGTTCCCCTTGTCTTGTCGGTCAATCTCCTCAGCTCATCTTTTTCACTGACGTCATCATCAAGTTCTGCATCCTCATCATCCTCATCTTCATCATCATCATCATTATCTGTTCCTTCCTCATTGTCGTTAAGGAGCTGCTGATCTGGAGAGCAGCCGGTGGTAAAGACCATTCCAGCGTTTGCTCCTGATCCCGAGCTCCCTCTATTCCGACGGAAGCCGTTCTGGCACTCGTTGTCCGCCCCTATGCCGCTGTCCTCACTGTGCAGCGCAGAGTCCTCTGGGCCGGGCTTCCTAAGGGCCGCAGCTTCCACACGGGACAGAACCTGCTTCAGGCGCTCCTCGGCCGCATGCTTAGCCAGCAGCTTCTCTCCTAAGACCTCAGACAGGGACCCAACGTAGTCAGCTAGCTCCTGTAAGGCTGCGTCACCTAGGCACTTCACAGAGTCTCCCACTGAGATCATCTGAACCGTGGAGCGAAGGAGCATGTGCTGCAGCAGTTCGGAGGGAAGCTCGTTCAGGTCGTTGCTTGGTTTGGTCGTAGGGGGATAGTCTTTAAGTAAAGCAGGCCACTTCATGTTGTGTCCATGTTCCCTCAGCAGCTGCTCGCCCTCAGCGGCCATTTCCTCCAAAGCCTGGTTGATCTCTTCGTAGTGCACAACTGCTGCAGCTACTGCGGTCTGTACGGAGAGATGGGTCTGAGCAGCCTGGCTCACGAGCCCTAAAAGGGACTCGTATTTGGAAATGCTGGGGTTCAGGTATGCATAGGCTGCCTGGTGGGCTTTCAGTATGAACTGTGCCTTTGACTGCGCATAGGAATTTTTTCTCAGTCTCTGTTTCCTCTGCCTCCTCCGCTTTCCTTGCTTATCTTTCGTCCGTATATCTTCTATTCCTTCTTTCTGGTTTTCTAAGAGGCCCTGTTGTGCACTCTGTTCATCCCGAGAGCGGGCCACATCTAGTATCTTCTCAGAAGCATTTTCTTCGACTGTCACAGTGGCATCACAAACTACATCATCGACTGAGGATCTCTTACCTTGAATGTGTTTTTCATTTTCTTGTATCTCTAGACCTTCTGAAGCAGTGTTTATCTCTGATTTGATTTGCAGTCGTGCCCCATCAGAGGGTAGGTCAGCAGTTTTCTGGCTTTCCGGTGATCCAGGCAGCAAAGCTTTTTTGCTGAAGAGTTGACCTTTAGATGGAGAACACCCCATGTTGATGGGAGAATCCTGTTGCTTTTCCTTAGATTGACTGCAGATTTGAAGTCAGAAAACCTCAACTTGGTTTTTGTTTACGTACCATACCAATTGTGTCCCGTTGTGCTTTACTATCCCTGTCCACAATCCCTGTCTTTCTCTACTTATTACCGCTGGCCAGTTGGTTTTGTGTGCCATAGAGAGCCCAGGATTGAAGCTTCTAGTCTGTCCCACACACACACACACACACGATCACGCTACAGGAATAAAGCGCATGCTTAAGACTATAAGCTCATCTCACTAATCAGGTACCCTGCTGGTTACCTTTTCTTATTTTGTTTTTACCACTTGTTAACTCTGACTGAATTAACATTATATTTGCATTAGAATCAAGATATATAGTAAAAATCTTCATTCAGTTTTTTCTACAGTGGAAACAGTTTTTTTTTAAAAAAGTGACTGTATCAATTTCGTTTCTGTGAAACTGAACAACAACCAGCAGATGAATTAAGTTCAGTGTGGCTTGAGGTTGCAGTATTTATAGATGTTTACTTCTGACTTAAATCCTCCCTGGATTTATGCCAGTGTTGTCTGCAATCTGCTGGCAAAGGATTTAAACAGGGCAAAATGATCCACAAGAATCACAAGCAGTGGGAGTCGATGATAATGGCATTAAAGTCCAAATAAAGCTCAAATCAGTTTTTTATAGTTTATTAAATGTACAGTTTTACATAATATGCAAGAAGAAACAGTACAGAAAGAGGTGTGTGATTTCTGTGCCATGGGTCAGATGTAGCAACGGTTTGGTTCGTTATTTTTAAGATTACACACATCACCATTTAATTTAGTACATTTATACGTAAATGCAGACTCCCTGTTTAGTTAAATACATAAAAAACATACAGCAAAAATCATCAAATCACCATTTTAGCAACTTTCATCATAGGTTACATGCAGTATTGATATATGTACAATATATATCACTGCAAAACAATGCTTTTCTAACTTAGTATTTTTGTCTTGTTTCCAGTCCAAATATCTAATCTTAAACAAGATTATTTTGCTTACCCCATTGGCAGATCATTTTGTTTGTTTTAAACAAAAACTCCCTTCTTTTGATTTATTTTCCCAGAAAACAAGACATAGTTTCTTATGGCCTTTAAAGACATCTTTATTTAGGAATTTTTAGATAGCTGGACTAGAAACAAGACAAAAATACTAAGTAAGAAAAGCATTTTTGCATGAAAAATCCAGATTATTTAGTCTGAAAGATTCACTGTTCTGGCCAAGGAAGTCTTTGTTTGTTGATGGAATTGCTAGAAGAATACAGGACAACACTTTTATTTTTATTTCGTAGTGTGTCATTGTGTCAACCTGAAATGGCGGAACACTGTACTTTCTATACCGCCTCTATCCACATCTTTAGTAATGGCGTTGATCTTGATCACAGATGGTGGCTACACCAGGGCTGGTGACATCTGGAGTGGTCTGGCCCGCTTCATGTAGTACGGTAATGTCCGCGGTGGCTGTTTCCTCTCTAATGCGTCTAGCCAACCTCGCCATGATCGATGCCCTCGAGTTCTCCGACAGCTCCCACAGGACTATGTAGCACTTTGGGATAAAATGACAAAAGATTATGCCATAGTTGGACGCCAGGATGGCCGAGGCCTGGACAATGTGCCGCTGTTCGGTCTTGTTTCTTTCAATATAAATGGGAATAAAGCAAAGCCAGACAAACAGATGAATCAATATGCTGAAGATGATGACGCCAGTCTCGTTGAAATCATGTGGCACTTTTCTACCCTTGAATGCAACAAAGAAACAAATGAAGGCCAATAGAGCTATGTAGCCATGCATCACCACAAAACCTACGATGGAGCCCTCGTCGCAGACAACATATTGTTTTAGGCCAGTCTCAGGCCACTTTATCTCTGGTCGAGGAGACTTTCCCAGAGTCATCCAGAACAACAGGATGATTCCTTGAGCACCGGTAAGCAGGACCAAATTGATAACAGGCTTGTAGAGCTTTTTAAGCTGGTGCTGCTTGGCCGGATCAAAGGGCAGGAAAGCCAGGAAAGAGCGGTAGGCTTTAACCAGGATGCAGGAAACACAGAGGGTGAACCCGAGGCCGTACAAGGCATGCTGAGCCCTGCACTGGTGCTTGTTCGGCCGGCCGATAAACATGACTACGCTGGCGAAGCTGACCGTCAGCCCCAGGAACATGAAACAAGACATCGTGTTGTCAGCCGCTTTGATGACTGTGGTGTTTCTGTGCACATTGAAAATGATGAAGGAGATGAACACTAGAATCAAGCCTATCGCTGTGGCCGCTAACAGAGCTATGGGATAACTGTCGTTCCAAACCAGATAAATCTCCTGGAAATACTCGCATTCACTTGCTCCCGTAGTAGACCATTTTCCTTCAGGACATTTCAGGCATTCGGGAAAATCTGAAAAGGAAAACACACTTATTTAATCATCAAAGTTGAACTAGGAAAGCACAATATACTGTCAAACCAAAAAGTAGTCAGACATTAGATATAATTTTTATTAAAAAATGACATATTACACCCAAATATTCTTCATACAGCGACTACCAGTAACATTTATACAAATTTGGGACCAAAAATGATTCCTTGTTTTTGAAGTGTGTTTTCTGTAATTGCTAATGCTCTTTTTACACACACACACACACACTGAACAACACGAAGCATTGCTTGGTCACTGGTTGAGCTAAACTGGTATTATCTAATTGTGTAAATTTAACAGCTGACAGTCAGCATAATTCATGTGTGAAAGTCCAACTGAAGGACGGACAAAACCAGTCATATATCCACTGATCTGAGAACTGAGTTCTGCTCATATTTGTTACCATTTTCCAAACTATAGGGAATAAACTGTGATAATGAGAGAAATGCTGAAGGTGTCTGAATACATTTTGGTTCGACTGTAGCTCGCTATCAGCCCTAATAACCCAGATAGCAAACTGACATTGAACCAACGTGGAAACATGACATTGAAACAACGTTGATCTGACATGGTTTTGCTCATCGAATTAACGTTGAACCAACGTCAGACGCGTCATTCTTTCAAAACTAACGGAAAATCAACTTGAAATCAACGTTGTTTTAACGTTATGAAAGCAAACGATTTCGATTTTCATTTAGCTTTGAAGAATGCCGCGTCTGACATTGGTTCAACGTTAATTCGAAGAGCAAAACGTTGTTTCAATGTCATGAGAGACGTCATTTCCACGTTGATTCAATGTCAGTTTGCTGTCTGGGAAGCTTGTTTCTCTATTATTGGTATATTGGAAGTAGCCTGGTAATACCAAACTCTGTACCTCGCTTCGTAGACAGAGTCTAGCATGGCATAATTGAAAAGTGTTTTCTTTCTCGTGGGGGTGCTTTTCAGAAGTATAAAATCATTGGTTACCCGTAAGCCAATCACATAACATCTGGTTATGACTTATGTTATTCGCCAGCTCAGCCGCATCGAACTTCCACTGTAAACACATGTATGATGCGAAATTCTGTGCTTTATGACTGGATTTTGTCAGAATTTGATGTACATGTACTCAGAAGCGAACTGAAATAGAGCAGAAGTACGAAGTCTAACATAGTCAGGCTATATTGGCTAAATGTAAATGTGTAAGTACAGAACTACATATTTTGTCACAAGTTTTTTACAATCTGAAGTCAGTTCCAGTGTTGCTGTGTTCTGCTATTTGTAGTCAGATGATTCCTAGTGAATTCTGATTTACCGTATCCATCAGCATATTTTCCTTCAGAACATTCAACGCAGTTGTAGCAGCAGGGGATCTTGGACTGGTTCTTCGCAGTGCCAGGTGTGCAAGCGTTTGAGCACCTGGCCATGGGTAGCTGGAGGACGAGAGAGACACATGTCAGTGATGGATGTTTCTTCTGGTGGTGGTCGAGAGAATAGCAAAAGTAGAGACAGCTCAACTCACGCTGTCATTTATCGACTGGAATTCACTGAAGATCTCCACGTCTGCTTTTTTCAAGAGGAATTTCCCCACAATTTCAATAATTCGTTCATCATCTTTTTCCTTCCACATTATGAGGTCGTAACCATCCACAAAGTCACCGTTTTCGTCAAAGAAATATCTAGTGCCATCGAGCGTGAAATTCACACTGTGCATACTTTCCAATAGCTGTCAAAGAGTACAAGTGTTCTTGATATTAAACAATTCATCACACTGTTGTTCATGCTAATTAAAACACTGGAGAATATGGTATTTGATCTTGGTAACACTTTATACAATGCATTAAAATGCAAGCAATAGATTTTTTTCAATTAGTGCAATTTAACTCTTTCCCCGCCAGCGTTTTAAAAAAAAAGTTGCCAGCCACCGCCAGGGTTTTTGACGATTTTCGCTAAATTTGAATGCCCCGCTGAATATTTTTTTGTTCCATGAATATATGAAGATGATATATATAAAAATAAAGATCTGAGCCTCTGCTTTTAGGCAAAAAAAACGTTTTTATTTTATCTTCATCTGTTCTTTTGTTATTGCCTCTTGAACAGAGGTAGGTTTTGTCAAAAACACAACATTTTGGACAAAAAACTGAGAAAAAGGTATTTTTATCAAACAAGTGCATTTAAAAGCAGAATACATTCAGATGTTGTTTCCTTCATATATAAAACTTTCCAAAATAAATTAAAAACATAAAATAAATGTAAAATATATCAAATTTCCCAGGATGTAAGGGAAATTTAACTTTTGCAATAAAACTTCTGCCTCTGCCTCTCTGTGTTCTACCTGTGAATAATGAATAATTGGAATTACAATAAACAGGCCTAGACACACACACACACACACACACACACACACACACAAATACATATTACAATGTGGTAAATGTGCACAAAGAGAGAAATAATTTGACAATTACACCTTCATATTTAGACAGCCACACATAAATGCCTGCACACACACATAAATATTATAGTGTCATAATATTATACGATCTATCTGCGGCACGTCCATGGCTAGAACTTTCTGTGACAACATGTGCATCTCTCTCACTGACTACTTCGTCCCGATCAGATTCAGAATTATCAAATAAAGAGTGATCGGACTCCGAGTCCATTAACCTCCAGTACTTCAGCCATATACCTCTGCATTGTCTGATACATTCTCACTACTCCACTGTTTGAGACAATTGCAATCTGTTTCTCTGATCAAAGAGTTGCGCACTCATT